GTGTGTGTGTGTGTGTGTGTGTGTGTGTGTGTGTACTTACATATTGGCATGGTCCAACATACTGTGAGAAACAAGGGCCCTCCGGAGGCCCACTATATTGTGTCCCAGTTAGGGATGCCAGTATAGCTCCTGGTGTATTCTGACACTTTGTGTTGTGAGGGTGTGTGTGTGTGTGTTTGTGTGAGTGTGCGTGCGTGCACATGTGAATGTGGGTCAGGGCTCTGAAAATGAGAATGCACATGTGTGTAAGCGAGAGTGTGTGTGTGTGTGTGTGTGTGTGTGTGTGTGTACTTACATATTGGCATGGTCCAACATACTGTGAGAAACAAGGGCCCTCCGGAGGCCCACTATATTGTGTCCCAGTTAGGGATGCCAGTATAGCTCCTGGTGTATTCTGACACTTTGTGTTGTGAGGGTGTGTGTGTGTGTTTGTGTGAGTGTGCGTGCATGCGTGCGTGCACATGTGAATGTGGGTCAGGGCTCTGAAAATGAGAATGCACATGTGTGTAAGCGAGAGTGTGTGTGTGTGTGTGTGTGTGTGTGTGTGTGTGTGTTGGGGCGATAAAGCAGGAGTTTATTCTGATTTTTCATGCCACAGGTTTATTTTTATCAGCCTACATATCATTTAGTTGTGTGTTTCTTTTTATATATCGATTGTTTGATTAGTTTTTATGTTAAAGTAAACATTCCCTCAAACTTTGAGATTCAGTCATGTGTTTATTTGCAGATGAATGTGGGTCAGCTTGTCGTAAGCCCCCCTCCCACACCTAAACACACACACACACACTGTGTCACTGCAACAGCGTTAATACAGGAAGTGGCCCTCATAAGATTTCAATGTCACTTTGCAATGCCTCACCATCCACTTCATTCCTTGTGGCCTAGAAAGTGATTTGGCTCACGCGGAATGCCCAGTGGCTCGATACGAAGGCTGCAAGGGAGTCTGGGTAGTTTGGCGCAGGCCTGAGCAAAAAAAATTACTTACAAATGTCCTAAAAATGCTATTTAATTTTTCCTACTGATTTCCACACTCASGTGGCTCAGTTGCAAGAGCGGCAGCGTGAAGAATGTAGCAGCTGCACTGCCAAGAGAGTTACAGTAATGTCTGTGGCGTGTTGCCAGAGTAGAGTGGGCCTGATGGGGCTAACGCCTGGGTATGAGGTCTTCTTTAAACTCTCTTTGACTAAACTGCTTCAGTGCCTGCAGGCCCCACGTCATGGGTACACTCCAAGACCCCAATAAGCTACATATAAAATGATAAATCACCTCGACGTCGCTACTTACGTTTTGTGCATTCTTAATACTCCCCTGAACCTTTGCCAAGAACCTGGAAGGACTCTCCATGTTCTAGCTGACTTTATGACTCACATCTTGGTCGACGTCCAGTACGAAGGGCATCATGAGTATTCTTAGTTCAACGTGTAKTTTTCTTACTGGTTAAAGTTAAAAAATCTACATTCTGTGAACTCCTTTGAATTCGAGCAATTCAGGTGGAAGTTTTTGTTTTGTGTCATCATGTGGTTAATTTCTCCCTCACCTAATGTTTGTTATACACAAAAGTGAAACTAATGGTGTCCCGATAAGAACCTTTTTACAATTATTCATACAAAGTGACCTGATACCTGGAACCAATACCGAAACTAGTATTGATACTGGTTTCGATACTCCATTGAATATGTTACAGTTTACATTTCAAGTGAAAAGTTTGTCTTCTGATTAGAAAAAGTGTGCAAGTTGAAAGAAAATCTTACTTTTTTTATTAACCTTTATTTAACCATGCAAATCCCATTGAGATCACAGATCTGTTTTGCAAGGGAAGCCTGAAGGCAACCTATTGTACGTGTTTTTGATCTGTGAGACCAGATCCAGTCAGAGGGGCTCTAGGTCTATAAAAAAGGAGAGACACATTGTTCTAAATAAAATAAATGTGTTTTTAAAGACATTGTGTAATGCTTAGGTTCTAACTCAGTAAGTACTCAGTAGCGGCGATTACCTAAACTGAAGTACTCATACTTAGTTTAAGAAAYACTGGTATCAAGACGCCCCTAGTAGAAACTGGACTGTTGAGTTTGAAGTGTTGCCTCCTCCAACCAGTTGTATTCAAATGTCTAACATTCAAGAAAGGATGGAATAACTATTTTTCTAAACATATACCTTTTCATTTAAAAGGAAAAGAATTTTGACACAACCATGAACCAGCAGTGTCAGRCTTTTTCTCAGCAGATCTGCAGCAGGTTGTGTCTGTATTTCYGTGCGGAGCCTCCCTCGAGCTTGTTTTGCTGCTGACTTTCTTGTTGCAGCTCCGAGGCCGTCCAGAGCTGAAGTGCAGCGACTGTGACTTAATTAACTGATGCCTGTTGTGCCTCTTGTCAGCTTTGATAGAGAACAGCTCCTGATGAAACAGAGGGTGACACGCACAATTAAACCCGAAACTGACCGACCAGTATTAGATAACAAACACGTGCAGGCCATTATCTGAAGATGTGCAAAAGAGTTTGATGTTATTTACATCTGACCTATGACATGTATGTCATTCTGTCTCAAGCAGATGTGAAAAGTGTGAAATTCTGTCGTRTTTCATTTCAACCAATCTAACCACYTTTTTCTCCACCATGCACCCTCCTATTTTTCTTCTGTTGCATCATTCTCTCCATCCCTCATCCCCTCCAAAACTCATTCTGTTCTTACATCATGTCCTTCCTCTCTACTCTATATTTTACATCCACTCCTGCTGTTTCACACCCATTTTCAAAATGAATTTCTTAAAAAAAAGATTTCAACTATCCTCTTCTCTCTGCCCCTGCCTGAATCCTTCCCCTCTTCCTTACCATCTGCCCACCCCCCTATTGTCCTCCCTTTAATCCTGCCCCCATCCTCCTTCCAGGTGAGATGGAGGAGCTGGAGTCTCTGTGGCTGACGGGGATCTGCCACCACGAGAAGAACGAGGTGATGTCCAGCCAGTTGGACGTGGACAACATGGCCGGCGTCTTCTACATGCTCGGCGCCGCCATGGCTCTTTCTCTCATCACGTTCATCTGCGAGCACTGGTTCTACTGGCAGCTGCGCTTCTGCTTCATGGGCGTGTGCTCCGGGCGGCCCGGTTTCGTCTTCACAGTCAGCAGGGTGAGACGTGCTGGGGAGAGGGATGGGAAGACCCTGATGTTGTAAAGTTATCTTTTACAAAGAAAACCATATTAATGATTGACCGTGAGTGCATAAAACACAAAATAACACAAAAACTTGGGTTTCATGAGTCTGATCATGAGGTTGATCGTTTTAATTGTAAAACTTGGGAGATAGTTAACCAAACTGATGGAGTAGTATGGAGTAGTACTGCCTTTTTTAGGATCACCATATTCTATAAATCAGAGGTGCCCAAAGTGGGGCCCGCGGGCCAAAATTGGCCCGCTGAGCCATTTGATTTGGCCCACCAGCAGTTGTCCTGGTTACTAGCTTGTAATTATATTAATATTAAATATAAAATACAAGTAACTACAAGAGAAATTTAGATTAGATTTAAGCCCATATATAGATTTGCACACCTTATAAGACCACATATACTCAAATTTTAAATTATGAAAATTCCCATGAGCCTTTGCTGCCTKAGCATACATTGAATTTTCTCCATGTCCATGGGCTGAAAAAAAAACTAAAGAATGTGGGCAACCACACTGGCTGCTAACTTAATCATAAAAAATAAAACAAATTTACTTAAGTATTTGCATTTCTTATATTATTGCGTTTGGCCCACGGCCCTCAGATTGATTTTAATTTTGGCCCTCTCAGGGAAAATGTTTGGGCACCCCTGCTGTAAATAGTTGTGTACCTGTTTGTTGCTCAACTGAGGGGCCTGGAGCCACTGATGCCAACTCCCCAGTAATAAAAGCTGCCAATGGCTGTCCTAAAAGTTGATAGATGATGTCATCATCTAATTAGAGTATTTGGACATATGTCTATAACTGTGATCTAGGCTGTAGGAAACATGCAGGTCAAGTGTGTCTGAAGAGACATAAATTAATTGTCTATACAAAAGACTCTGCAAGATCACCTTAATACTTCCTTGTTTATGCTAACATTACCATTATTGTCCCTGTATGACCTCTCCTGTAACCTTTCAGGCTTTTATAACATAGATGCTAAAACGTATCCTCCGTAACCCCGCCTCCATCTACCAAACATTACTGACATAAATGCGTTCTCTTTTTGTGTGTGTGTTTTGACTCTCAGACCTTTCTCTTTGCCGTGAGGTAAACATTTACAAAATACTGAGCTAAAATCAATATTTCACTCAACAATAACAAAAAAAAAACACAGCCACAGAAATGGTGAGGGTGGATTACTGAGGTCCCGAGAGACCAAAGTCACCTCAAGATGTTTGATTTGCATTCCAATTGTTTTGACACGGCTGTGGTGTAATTCACTGCGTGCCTCTGAAGGTGAACGGCCGCAGGCTGAAACCACGTGGCTCATTTACAGCAGAGGAGCCACACGTTGCTGCTCCCTGCTTCTRTTTCAGGTGTCGTTCATTGCTGGGACAGAAAAAAGCCCTAAAATTAAAAAAAAATTAAAAAAACCTCTCTCCTCTCTGCTTTATTGTTATGTTCGAGGACTAAACCGTGATTAATTTGAACAACGTTAATTTGATGTTGTTTGTTTCTGCCCGTGTGCGACCRTGTCTGTTCAGACTCGTTGCTAAAATGTCAGCTGACTTCTCGTCTCCAAAGACAAGCTGCTCGGCCTTGTTTTCCATTATTGCATTATATCATTGTAATTTGTAAGGGCTCGGGAACACGGGCTAATTAAGCTTTGTGCGGCATTCAGCGATTGCTCTCATTTGCTGAAATTACGTCTCTTTGCTGCAGTATGACAGAATGAATGAGCGCCACGTGTCCACAAATAGCCAGATGATTCGGTATGATAAAATATTCTTGGGGAAACACTCGTGGAAAGAGGTCATTTGCATTGTGCACAGCAGCAGAGATGTTTCCACACATTGTCGCCCAAAACCGTCATATCATCTCAGTTCTGTTTCCTGCTCAGCTACTCAGAGCAGTTTAGTTTTTTAAACATTTTATAGCATGATCCAGTAAAGCTTATTGTTATTGCTGCAATTAACATTTAAGCCCAGCAGCATAAAAAATAGCATCTGTCACGGTTGGTGGAACTCATGTGGCCTCAGTTGTGGCTCCACGGCTGTTTAGCGTTCCCTCTCTCTCTGGGCTTTTTTCTGTGAGCATCTCTCCCCTGGCTACCTGCTCCTCCAGGTCCCATCTGAAACATATTCATTAGATTGATTTAAACTGCCTCTAATGACTTTAGAACTGTAATTGTACTGGAAGGTTTAATCATCTGTAAATTTGTTTCATTTAGCACCATAAACATGCAACAGATTTGGACATTATTGAATTATCAGCGGCTTGAGTTGGTGCTGACATTTATTTTTGATATCTTGTCACTTCTTCACTGTTATCACCTTAAAACCTAAAAAGACATTCCTTTAAAAAAATATTAATCTGCATCCTGTATTTAAACGTTGATTTTTGACACATGGCAAAATTACTAAAAGGAAAGTCTCATAAGTAGAGGTAGATCAGTTGATTGGGCCGTTATTATTTGGGCAAATCTTTTTAAATAATTGACAAAAAATGTTGCAGTGGTTTTGCTCTCAAAACTATGGTCTTCTTTGCATCCTGGGTATTTTTCATAATAGAGATGTTTTTAAAAAAACTCATCAACAGAAAGTTGACCTGAGTTTTCTATCTTTTGAAATAAAACTTAAGTATGTTCCAGAAAAACTCATAAATAATAAATAATAAAGAGTTGAGATGATTATTTATAAAAGAAACGATGCTGAGGTTTTGTGGAAAGGTCATTAACAGGCAATATCTTACCTGTTGTAGATAACTCTTGTAACACCTTAGTTTGAAGAAATACAAGTTTAATGTTGACAGGACTGATRAGCTAACAGCTAGCTAAAGCACATTCAGTGCAGCCTGGCTGTGTCATAATATTACTGCCATAATATAATATTAACAGCAATGTAAAGGATTTTAAAATAGCATTTGCATGAACTGTTGTTGTTTTTTCCTGCGGATGTTCAAGGTTCCTCTCCCAGTCTAAACACATACATGTTAAGTTCAATGGTAATTCTAAATTGTCCCACGGTGTGAGTGAGAGGGTGAATGGTTGTTTCTATTCGTCCATGTGATGGACTTGTGACCTGTTCAGAGTGTGCCCCGCCTCTCGCAGAGTGTCTGCTGGATGTGGGCATGAGMAATCCTGAAAGGAAAAGCAGGACTGACCATTATTRGAACTTGGAGTTGTCTTATATGTCAGAAATMTGCTTTSATCTTGGCCACAGCTTTTTACTWGTYTGTCGAGTCAGGATTAAACTCTGTTTCTCCAAACTGAGGTTGTGTGTAGAGCTATCTACAGCAGGTGAGATATTAACTGTTCAAATTCAATAGATCTGAACTATTTCTTTATCTCTTAATTTTAGTTTTGTGTTAGTAATTTGTTAGATAACATTCCTTTTAGAAAGAAATATGGACAAATTTATACTGACAGTATAGTTTATAAGCTTTTAAATCTTCTAAAGAACAGGCAGGGATGTTTATAAACCTAAATATGCTTTAAAGGTCCTCATTACCATCGTTACAGGCTGTAAGTGTTGGCCCAGACTTCATCTACTGATAGTTTTTCTTTGTTATTGTTTTTTAAATCAGTTTCATGATTGTTCATCAACTGCGCTGATTTCTGAAGATTGCAGTCAGTCACTGAAAACCTTAATGTCAGCCTCTAATACTAAATTAAAAGTAAATGTTTCTGAAAATTAAAGAAATTATTCCAAATGTCCTAGAAGGGAAGATGGGACAGGCTCAGTAGCAAATGAGGTGAAGAAGAAGCGTTAAATAAATGAAATGATGACCTATTCTGTAAAAGACAGATGACTCAGGGGAGGCAGAGACAGGCCAGATAAACAATGATGGATGGTTTGGAGTGAGAAAAATATGAAAATATCAAGTTAAGGTTATAGGTTTGTCCTACACCACACAAATTCTTTGTGAATACCTTTTTTAAATATTTGACTCCTATGTTTTAACACTTGSGCTGTGACTTCTCATAATTGTCCACTAACACACTGTGGTGCTGAAAGAAGCAAAAATTTTATCTAAAAAATATAAATGAATAAAACCTTTGTGCTACTGCAAAGCAGGGTAATTAAAGAGAATGTGTGTCCAGGGAAAAGGTGTAATAGTCCTGTCAATAGATAGAAACAGAAGGTAGTAAAGACAAAACCTGACAGCAGACATGACCTTTGACCTCTTGTTTTTACACTAACAATATTTAGTTTCCACAGCCTTCTCCACACGACTTGAAAAACTGAGTAAAAAGGGATCTGATCCTTCAGGGGCCTCATCTGTCATGCCCGGTTCACTCTCCGCTGAACATCCATTTTTATCTGAATATTGTATCGTACATCACTGAATGTAAATGAAGCAGTTTATCATTCTGTCGCTGAACGACTCGGCCGGCGTTTCCTCGGCGCGACCGCTTCTTTATGGTGAGATCTGCGTTGTGGCCAGTGGCTCAGAGGGCTYGTGAAACTGAGGGTTTTAATAACTGCCAGGAGGAAACTGTTCAGCTGAATTCTAATCACATTGATTGAAGGTATTGATGAGTGTATTTGAAGGGGTTTTACAGTCACTGTGGCTATATAAATCCGCACGATTCTCTCTAATATTCATACCATTCACTCGCTTGCACTCTGTTTCCCACCAGTGAATATACAGTATCATTTTTTTTGTTGAAGTCTATAGCACGTAGATTTGTTTTCCATTTACAATACATCTCTGGTGACTAACATTATAAACAATCAAAGCTGTTCTACTTTCGAATGTCTGTTTTAAATTAATTATTGATCCAGAGTTAACTATGTTGTCCTATTTCAAATTTCTTTTGCTTCGCCTTAGTTTTCAAATAATTGAAAAGTGCATAACAAAAAGGTTAGGTTATTTTGTAAAAATAAAGGAATGTAACAGTGCAAATATACAAAGAAAAAAGTCTTAATTAGTAAGCACCAATTAGAATGAAATATATGGAGATAAATTAGTCTCAAAAAATGTGACAGCGTGCAACATTTGAGAACATTAAAAATCTGGCTCCTCTGTCAGGTCCTCCTGTTTCTGTTTCAACACTAAGTCCTTTTCTGTCACCACCATGAAGCTAACACTGAAAGTCCTGTCTGTTCTGTTCTGTATTTTTGTTACAAGCTTTAATTTCCTGTAACGCTGAGAATGTCCGCTCAGCATTTAGCTTGTAAGACACTACGGAAATCTAGTTTCCCGGTTCTGACWCCTGCTCTCTGATCAGCCAATCAAACGATGAGAAAATGATGACGCTATCCGAGGCCAGCTCGCAGGCTCTGGGGTCTTCACCTCGGCACCTGATCGGTCAAAACAACAGTATCGCTGCCATGTGTTTCACCGTCCCGGTGCCTTCGCTGTTTGTTCTGAAGGCCTGAGGCAGATGTCTGGACCCAACAGATGATGATCGAAATATGATTGGATAAAAGCTCTAAATAAATATAAGCTGCTGGACGCTGCACAGCCAAGAGAAAAACTATGAAACGAAGAGAACAGATGATTCAAAAATAATAATAATAATATCCTTATAATAATTTTAATAACTATTATAATAAATATAAAATATTCTAAAATGTAGTGATTCTGGTTGTGTTTAGGCCAGCAGAGAAGGCTTTACTGGCCCTGACGGCACACCACTAGGAAATCTTAAACAAGTCTTTGTTTACACTGCAGAGGAACACACATTAAGTTGAAACATGGTGATTCTCTTCCTGTTTAAAGTAAACCGATCACWTAGTATAAGATATAAGACTGTATCTAAAATTCAGGTAATCAGTCACAAAATTAAATTTCCTGTATTAAAACACACCTTTACAAGGGTTATAAGCTAATAAGTCAGAAACAAGTTGCTTCCAATAAGCCAGTAAATGTGGTAAAGCTCAGTTGTCTCAGCTTTTCAACAGCTTTGAATGCAGCACTACATGTGAATCTGCAGCGGTAAGAAAGACTGAAAAGTGACATTCACAGATCCATATACTCGTGAGCTTGCAAATCTTGGTGCTCTCTTGCTCAAATCTAGTTGTACAGTCTCCAGTACACGTTTGAATATTGCTGTGCGCTCAAATCTTCTATAGACTAATTTGTCTCCATAGAACATGCAATATTGGTGAAACAAAAACCAAAACATTCCTTCTCTAATCCTGCTCCTTGCCTGTGTTTCTTCCTCACAGGGTATATACAGCTGTATTCATGGAGTGCAGATTGAAGAAAAGAGCAGTTCTGCGTTGAACTCCCCATCAGCCACCATGAATAACACCCATTCCAACATCATGCGCCTCTTACGCACCGCCAAGAACATGGCTTCCCTGTCGGGTGTGAACGGCTCACCCCACAGCGCTCTGGACTTCATTCGCCGCGAATCTTCTGTATATGACATCTCTGAGCACCGCCGCAGCTTGGCAGGCCACTCTGACTGCAAACCTCCATACATGCCAGAGGACAACATGTTCAGTGACTACATCAATGAGGTGGAAAGGACGTTTGGCAACCTACATCTAAAGGACAGTAACCTGTACCAGGACCACTACCTACACCACCACGGCTCAACTCTAGGCCTCACTGGGCCTCCTCCCAACAGGCCCCACAGTTTGGGCAGTGGTAGTTCTCTGGAGGGGGGCATGTTCGATTGTGACAGCCTTGGTGGAGGGGTTGCGCCTATCTTTACCACCCAGCCCTGCTCAGCACTGACCCACAGGAACATGAGCAAGTTTGACCTCTTGTCCGGACAGACTCCTCCCTCAGGCCAGAGCTTCAAGGGAGGTCTGCCGGACTTGTATGGGAAATTCTCCTTCAAGGGAGGTGCTTCAAGTTCCACCTACATCCCCGGACAAGGTTACTGTGCGGGGAGAGGAGAGGAAGATGGGAATATACGATCAGATGTCTCAGATATTTCTACACACACAGTAACCTACGGGAATCTGGAGGGTAACGCCAAGAAGCGCAAACAGTACCGAGACAGTTTGAAAAAGAGGCCGGCCTCTGCAAAGTCCAGACGGGAGCTTGACGAGATTGAGCTGGGATACAGGAGAAAACCTTATCACATCAGCCACCACCACTACCACAGTCAACGCTCTGCCTCTCCACCTCTCCTACCCTCTGAACGCAAGAGAGGTGGTGGAGGGGGGAACAATAACGGGAGCTCATATCTTTTCCGAGAAAAGGAGAGTGTGAGGGACTTTTACTTGGACCAGTTTCGGCCCAAAGAGGGCGTCCCTCAGTGGGAACATGTGGACTTGACAGAAGGCCCAGGAAGTAGAGATGGGGGTGTATCAACCTGCACTTCCTTGGTACCTGTGGATGACTTTCTTAAGAGCAAGCCCAAGAAGTCGGATTCAAAGAGTGGGGGAGGATCTGGGCTGGCAGGGGGAGAGTGGGAGTGCAGAAACTGTCGGGCTAGTGTGGCAGGTGGGGGCAAGCAGATGTCCATTCATGGCRGTGGTGGCTATGGTGGGGGTATGAGCTGTGGGTCCTCAGGGGGTGGAGGTAACAGCCGGCCCAGCTCTGCGACCTGCATGCGTTGCGAAGGTTGTAAAAAGACAGGAAATTTGTACGATATCAGCGAGGACAACAACCACTCCTTGGAACAAATGGGGGGTGGGAATGAAGGAGTGGTAGGCTGCATGGCCCCAGGCCCCCAGTCTCAATCTCAGGTCCAGCAGAGGAGGAAGAGCGGAGGGTTCGGGAAGCAGCTGAGGCGGCAACATTCTTACGACACATTTGTGGACCTTCAGAAGGAGGAATCAGGTGGAATGGGAAGTTTGATGGGAGGTTTGGGAGGAGGTGGAGGGATAAGTGGACCAAATTTGGGAGGAATGCTGCCCCCACCAAGAAGTGTTAGCTTGAAGGAGAAAGAACGCTACATGGAAGGTAACAGCCCCTTTGCACACATATTTGAGCGCCACGGGGGCTCTGAGAGAGAAAGAGAAAGGGACAGAGACCCATTGTTTTATGGAGGTGAGAGCCAGAAAGGACCTGGCTCACCGTTCGGCCTGTTCAGAAGCGGTGAGGGCCTCCATCGCCGCTCCATCGGAGAAAGAGACATGAGAGACAGGTCTTTGATGGAAGGAGGAGGTGGGGCAGCATTCTCTTTATCCAAATCTCTTTACCCAGACAGGGTAAACCAAAACCCCTTTATTCCCACCTTTGGTGATGATCAGTGTCTGATGCACGGAGCCAAACAATATTACATGACAAAGCAACAGCAACAAATTGCCACAAACAGCCGAAGTGACTTCAGGGGTCAGATGAGTGCTGGATCGTATATGCCAGCGTCTGCCACAGCCGGGGGGATGTCCAGTGTGTCCCCCCGGTTCCCAAAAGAGCTCAGTTTCAGTGGGATGAACCATCATGGCTCCATGTTAGGGGTCGGCCCCCCACGTCCCTTCAACGGAAGCAATGGCCATGTGTACGAAAAACTCTCCAGTATTGAGTCTGACGTGTGAAAGACAAACCGCAAGGAGGAGGAGTGCAATAGAGGTACAGTATCAAGCATTAGGAGATCAGGGCTATTTCTTTAAACACTGTAGACACAAAACAGCCCACAGGGAGACAGGAAGATGTTGGGGGGAGACTGGAAGGTTTTGTTTCTAAAAGTATTAGAGTGAGGGAAATTGATGATAAAAAAAATCAGGACATCCTGAGGAGGTTTGGGGATGCCAACCTTCTCTGATAAAATGGCCAAAGCTACTCTACCTTACATCCATATAAAGTCAATAAACATTCCAAATACCCTCCAATCCAAGTCCTATCATTTTCTCCACCAGTGTTTTAGTAGTCACWGCATCTTAGTTTGCTCGTGACCGTATGGTGTGAGGTGATGGCAGTCCGAAGGCTCCCGCTGAGTGCATGTGAGGAAATACAGTGAAAGCGAGGAGACAGAAGCGAACTCTCCATCTGCTCCTGCGTTTCTGCAGAAAGTAGATGTTTTTCCCCATTCGCCCAAGTCACAACACAGGTCACCGCTCTTCACCCGTCCTCTTCTTCTCAGCGCCCGTTTCTCCTCCTCATTCCCAACACCTAAAGAGCTGTTTGTTATCAAAAATACAATCATGAATGATAATAAGATATTCTTATAGAAAACAGGGTACAAGAACAACAATAACATGAATAACAGACATTTTTGCTGATTATGGTACTACTGTTTTAAGGCATCAGTAAGTTTTTTTTATTCTGTTGGTATAATATTTTACTACTTTCTAAGTATCTGTAGTTGTGTATTTGTCTGCTAACAGTGGCGGCAGAAAAGTTGTTTTTGTTGTTATCCTACAAGCCAGAAGGACTGAGGTCTCTAAGTTGTGTTTTTCTGTTAAACATTTTACTCCATACTCATTCATGTATTTGCTTCTTTTTGAAACGCTGGATCTCAAAGACACACTTGATGCTGAGAGATCCTTAAAGACATTATAAACCAAGCTCACACATCCGGACTGAAACACACACACACAGTTTTTGTCAGTCTGAACTTGTGTTACTGTGAACAACAGAAGCTGAAGCTGCTGAGTGGAAGGATGTGCCTTAGTGGTCTCCAGTGGAAGTGTCCTCCAGTTCACAAGTGGAGGGACCGGTGGGCTTTCACGCTGCTTGGTGTTCTTATCACAATTGAGCCAAAACCGCATTAGAAGTCAACAGCAGGCCACTGCTGCTGGTTTCAACACAAGATGCTGTTTAGGATCTTTTATATCTTCGTAAAACTATTTCATAAGTCAGGAATGGGGAGTGTTTTATGAACTAAGTGTATTCAGGATACACAACGTGACACATCAACCACTTCCCTTACTCAGCCTCGCTTTAGTTTTCTATTAAAGGCATTCATTTGAACTACCATAAGCAGTCTGGGAGGCTCATACAGCAAGCTTTGTTTTGACTGTGTAAGATTAATATTATGCACTGTCACTTACGTAGGAGAAATGTTTAAAAAAACGTGTAGGAGAAGCGTTGCTATCCCACGACTGTAAAAAGCCGAGCTATGGAGGCTTCTTAAACACAAGCAAAGGCTTCAGGAAAGTGGTTATCTCATGAAAGTTTTTTTTATTATTATTACTTGGACTGTTGTATATAGTGTGTTTAACAGAAGAGGCCTCATTTATTGCACAGGACCTTTTTATTCAATGTAGGTTCAGGCACTCAGTAGACATGCCTTATCGTCTCATCACCCCTGACCTGCTCCTCAAGCCGTCTGGTGATGACTCATCACGACCCGACTGCRGGGGGGGGCTTCTATTAGAGATCTGAAGGTTTCGTCTTTGATTTGTTGGTTTTACAAGTTCAAGGGCTGAAGGAGATTGTGCAGAAGTGCTGGCCACAGTACAGAGCTGTGAGAATATGTGGAAAACAATGTTCGCTGACTGAACCCCGATACAAATTCACCCTCACTGAGAGTTGGCTAATATGTTTGTGCACATAGACAGAAACTAAATGTCTGAGCTTCTAGGCATGGGCCTGTTTCTTATTCTAGATAAAGTAATCAATGATTTCAATAAAATCCTGTTATTCTTTTATTTCCATTACCAATTTCTTTTATAGTCATTTGATTATTTAGAGAGATTAAAAACAATATCTTATCTGTTGTAGATAACTCTTCGAATAATCTCAGTTTGGAAAAAATGTTTGATTCTTGATGAGCTAGTCCAAGCTTGGCTTGCTGATCTCATAATCTTTGCATGTTGTAACAATTCATGAAAACACCTTTGATAAACTTTTACATCATTATTTAATTATTTTTATATTTCTGACGCAAGCTGCACCAGAAGTGCTGAAGTTAGCTGCTGCTAAGTATTCCACTTCTCAATAACCACAAAAGTGTGTATAAATAACAATAGAATGTGAAATAGGTGGTGTTGTGAAGGTTAACAAAAAAAACTTTTGCATAAATTCTTTTGAAATGCTTAGAACTAGTGTTGTATTGAGATGGCAACTTTGATTTTTACTGCTTTGAGACGAGCAGTTATCCCTAATTTACACTACTTGCGTTCCRTCTCCGCTCCGCTGCGGTCCGATCTCCGCGGCAAATACGCACTCATTATAATCAATGAGAGTGTTTACACTGGCTGCACACGGGTGCGCAGGGCGGCGGTGAGCAGACGGCGGTCCGTCAAAAATTAGAACAGATCCTATTTTTGCCGGACACCGGAGCTGCGCCGGTGTCAATTTTTAAAATTATGTCGCACCAGCAGGAAAAGAAATGAGCACAACATCCGTATTTTCAAAATAAGACACTTTTAGGCTGGATAATTTGTTGGAAAAATGTCGAAACTGCGGCTATACTGTATTAATAAATATAGTGATATATTTCTACACAAATGCTGTCAGAGTGTATCGTTCTGTTTGGGAAGCAGATGGAAACGTAGCATGCAGCATATGTGTACACACATGATACACGTGGATTTTATTTTGAAATCAGAAGTTTCAGAAAGCCGACAGCGAGACAGTTTCAACATAGATATCAAAAGCCTTTGTATCGTTGTTTTCAGCTGTGTTTGGAGTTCGTCCTTCACAGAATTAATTATTTTTTGCTGTGACTTCCACACTTATCACTGAATTTATTGCGCGATCTCCTCTGTCGGACCGGAGCGGAGGTAGTGTAAACTGGACTTGAAACTCACAGCTGTGACCTGCGCCCCGCAGCGGAGATGCATGGTAGTATAAATCCGGGGTTACAGAATGTCTAAATCAGCTTTAAAAGAATTTGATCAATTGTTAAGCTGTTTTTAATCATTTACAAGTTACCGGAGTTAGTATTGGTAAAATAAACGGGTCACAGAAGGCTACAGAGGTTGGTAGGTAACTGTCTAATATACCCACTAACAAAAGCTTGTYATAATATGTTATTTTTTATATTTCAAAAAAACAGAAAGACCCATCAGAGCCAATATTTTACCAAAATACATTTACATTTGTTGCATAATTATTCATCTAGTTTTCTATCATTGTTTTCACATACTTAAAAAAAGAAAATCTGCTTTGTATTTGAATTTGTGCATTAAAATCTGAACTATGAATAAATTTTGCACAAAAAGTAAGGAAAAGTGTGTTTGGTAGATTATTTTTTTGTTGTAACAATGCTTCTTGGTAATAAATCTTATACCATTTGAAAGTCTATATTTCTCTTTTAAGTTATGCCACATTTGTAAGGAACATGCATTTGTGGGATCAGCAGTAGAACTGAGTATGTGGGTTGCACACATGAAAAATTAGTCAAATCCTCTGCCATTAAGTCATTTGGTGAACTGAATGATTGAAGTTTGAAGAAACTATTGGCAATTTAGCAATTTATTCATTCAACAAAACAGGATATTCAGCAGCGTGTGGAAGAACCATWCACAGCCACAACAGCCTTGCACCACTTGCCGGTCACCAGCCTGGACACTCACTGCTGTGGGATGGCATCCCATTCTTCAACCAGCATTTGTCACAAGTCAGCCAACATGGTTGTATTGGTCACTCTGGCACCAACAGCCCAAGCTGATCCCACAAGTGTTCAGCGGGGTTGAGGTCAGGACTTCTGGCAGGCCATTCCGTCCTCTTCACTCCCAAATTCTGGAGGTGGTCTATGATAAATCACGCTCTGTGGGGGTGAGCGTTGTCATTTTGGAGGATAGAGTTTGGCCCCCAACTGTGCCTGGTTGGCAGCACCTGGGGTATCAGAAGCACAAAACAAGTGTCAATGGCAACAGCAAAATAAGATGTTTGACGGAGAAGATTTTACAAACTTTTAATGTGTGAAACCCACAAACTCAGCTCTACTGCTCATCCCACAAATGCATGTTCCTTATAAAAGGGAAATTACCAGGTTCCAACAGTATACAATTACCAAGAAGCATTATACAGCAAATAAATGATTACTAAATACAAATTTCCTTATTTTTTGTGCTAAGTTCACATTTTCTTATAATTAATTTTACTCATATATATTAATATATTGACATAATCATAATAGCAATATGGGATATTTTTGGCTGTAACAATTTCACTATGTGGAACATTGTAACGTTTTTCTTAAAACATAATATTAATACGTTAGTGAAATCATTGTATTGTACTGTCAGAATCTTTTACCGGCCCATGCCTATTTTAGTGGAAAGTTTGGCTGTTTTTGTTCTGAGCTGCACAGATAATCTGAGTGAGAATGATCGAGTTAGCCTTAAATCCRACTCATCCACCCTCCCATACACGCCCATCAAGATCAAGCTCCTAATAAATAACTTGAGATCTCTGGAATTTTTATACGTACACACTGAAAGTTCAGGTGAACCATTTCAATCATGGCATTTAAAGGAAGAGAAAAACAAAACACGGAGGCTTCGATGTGGAAATATAAAAGAAAAAGAGAGAAAATGGCGTGGGCCTCAATCTGTGTCAGCATTAGTATGTTCAATCTTTTATCTTGTAAATAATCTATTTAAAAATAAAACAATCTTTTCACTTTGTACAGTAAACAGACAGACAAGGATGTAACTTTAATATGTTTTACAATTTAAGAAATAAACAAAATAACCATAAAAAATGTGTAAAACTGAAAAACTCAGAAAAATATGCAAACTATAGTTAATACGAATATTACTAATCACAAGTGATGTAACTGAACCTATTTTTCTTTTAATCTCATGTTTACTTAATTATAATAGTTTTACCAATCGGTATACAAGATTATGTTAAGAATTATGCTTTTATTTTCCCTTAATTTCACTAAATTGTTGGGAATTAAGGATAATTTACTGTAGGTGTAGACGTTTAGTGATTAATGGGGGAAAAGTTTAGTTTTAGGAGTCTTTGTTAAGTTTCCCTTGAATTGTGTTAGATCCTCTCTAAGATAAGCTACGTTCCACGCTTTTTTGAGGTTGATTCAACTTATTCGACACATTTATGTGATACAATATTACATGTATACCAAGGTGATATTTGCATATAGAGGCAGTATATCGTGGTCCTTCATTTCTAAGCAGCGGTTCTTCTTTCAAACTTTTCAAAGCRTTTGTGTTTCACGTTGCCCCATTTTTTTTCTTTTAGGTGGGGTGGGGTGGGGGGGGGACATGGGCTAAAAACGGTAATTGCACACAGAATTTAGAGCCATCATCGGCCCGGCCTATCCTGCTTCCTTTCTCTACGTTTGGGGATAGACGTCACTGTGTTAAAAGGAAGACATTTAAATATATTGTAAATGTAGACACGCCGGATGTTTCCCGGTGTTTGTCGTCRTCGCTGAGAGTGTCAGCACAAACATGGCGGACAAGATGGAGTGTAGTTTCAGCTCATGGAGAGCGAGTCTGAAATGCATTTGTGTAACCCCTTATTAAAAAGATGAAGCATTTGTTGTGTCATATCTTGTTTTGAGCAGGTTTTTGCTACAAATTTGCTGCTTTATGTAAACTCTCATGCTGAATTGTTCATTTGACAGCTGAAAACCTTCTCCTGTGCGTTTCTTAGAAAATATCTTCATTTATCGTGCGCATGATGCCCTCATGGAGTCAGAAATGATTTCCATGCCTTTTTTTCTTTCTTGCTGCACTAATTCCAATAAGTCTCTGTAATCTTCTCCTTCGCCCTGAGAGAAGAAATCCATCTCTCCTCTGTTTTTCCTCCTGAACTGCTTTCATGTCCATGGGGTTGATTGAAAAGTGAAAAATGTATCAGTGTGCGCATAAACTCTGTTGGGTTTCCATTTTTTTTCCTTTTTTTTAACAAAATGATTCAACTCATTTGCAATAAACAGCACAACCAAACATGTAATGTTCCCATTGTGCTTCAAATATGTTAATATATCAATTCCTGTTAATGTTTCTTTTCTAATTGTCAATAGATGGACCAGTGGAGGCTCATTTTCTCCTCTGGTTTGTGCACCTGACACTGTTTTAAAACATCAGGCCTTCAGCCCTGCAGCTGCTCTGCAGCCGGCGCGCTCAGGTCGGACAGAGAAGCAGATTAAACCGAGGGATGTCAGGAGTCTTTAGTTCCCTTCAAGCCAAATTGGTCCCAGTTTCCACTTTCTGCCACAACATATTTATTCAAGCAGGGCAAAACACTGTGTCCCCCTTTTTTCATAATACAACCAGGAAAAAATATCCAGAACAAGCTTGCAGGCARAAACAACCGGACGGATAAAGGTTGAAAAAAATTTCCCCTCATTTGATTTCGTTTATTTTTTTCAGCCATATTAACGCCTAACTTCATCACCTGATCAGCTGCAGGGATAATCTGATTTGGTAAAATGTGGGGTTTTTTGTGATAAAAAGGTGTTTTACAAGCTTAATGCATAATTCATTTTAGCTCATGCACAGAAAGATCTAAACTGTGATATTAAACAACTCAAGCTTTATGTCATTTGATCCAGTCCCTAGTGGTTTTTGTTATTTTTCTCTACAGAGCTATGTCTTTGTGTGTGTTTTCTCCATTAATACTGCTTCATATTGATGCAAACTAACTTTTCTATGAAACCATGTAAAGTTTTGTTCATTACTTGGGCTGTTTTTTTTTTTCCATTGTGGTGCATAAGGGGTTGCTACTAAATGCAATTTCATAAGGTTGAGGCTACATAAACCTGATTAAATTAACTGTGGTTGATTAAAAAAACAAATGCAACATAGAGCTACTCTCACTTGTAATAATCATATAGAGAATATTATTCTTGGCCATCATTTTCCTTTTCTCGTGGCCCTTTCCTTTTGAAACAATGCCAAAATTTTTACAGCAGACAAACAAAAAAAAATCACACAAAAACAATAATTGTACAGGTTGTGTATATACTGAATACAAGGGAAATATTCAGTTTTTGTATGAACATGATCTCAAGTAATCTCAGTAACAAATTTAACCATGTCATGACAAAATTGCAAAACAATTAAAAACTAAAAAAATTCAAGGTACTTCTAATAAGGATAATGTCAATATCTACTATTATAAGTGCTGAAATAAGACTATTCTTTCTCTTTGTACATGATGAACAAAATGACGTGTTGAGTATTATTAATAAAAAGTATAAGTTTCACACCTGTGCCAATGAGTCTTATTCTGCTCTTTGGGGTTAATAATAGTTTTGTTCCTTTTTTTCTGTTTTTTTTTCTGTTTATATGAAATTTTTTGTCCATATGACAAAACC